CAACCTCCCTTGCAATGAGCTGGGACATCTTCAACTAGATCAAGTTGCTCAGAGCCCCCATCAGAGCCCCATCAACCCGACCTTGAATGTAGCCAGGGATGGGGGATCTACCGCCTCTCTGGGCAACCTGTTCCACTGTTTCACCACCCTCATTGCAAAAAATTTCTTCCTTTTATCTAGTCTAAATCTACCCTCTTTTAGTTTAAAGACATTACCCCTTGTTCTATCACAACTTCTCTTCTCCAGGCTGAACAACCCCAACTCTCTCAGCCTGTCCTCATAGATGAAGTGTTCCAACTCTCTGGTCATTTTTGTGGCCCTCCTCTAGATTTAGTTCAATGGGTCCATGTCTTTCCTGTGCTGAGGGCTCCAAAGCTGGACACAGTACTCCAGGTGGGGTCTCACCAGAGCAGAACAGTGGGGCAGAATCACCTCTCTCGACCTGCTGGCCACACTTCTTTTGATGCAGCCCAGGATACGGCTGGCCTTCCGGGTTGCAAATGCACATTGTTGGCTCACATCCAGCTTTCATCCCTTGGTACCCCCAAGTCTTTATCGGCAGGGCTCATCTCAACTCCTTCATCCTGATGCTTGTATTGACTGTGGGTTACCCCAACCCAGGTGCAGGACCCTGCACCTTGCACTTGGCCATGTTGAATCTCATGAGGCCCACACAGGCCCACTTCCTGAGCTTGCCCAGGTCCCTCTGGGTGTCATCCCATCCCTCAGGTGTGTCAACTATACCGCTCAGCTTGTTGTTGTCCACAAACTTGCTGAGGGTACACTCAATACCGCTATGTCATTGGTGAAGATATTGAACAGTACTGGTCCCAATATGGATGACTGAGGGGCATCTGTACATTGAGATGTTGACCTCTACCCTCTATGACCATCCAACCAATTCCTCATCTACTGAGCAGTCCACCCATCTACATCTTGCCAATTTAGAGAGAAGGATGTTGTGGGGTACCATGTCAAAGGCCTGTTGTCCAGATAGATGACAAAGGATGCTGTCCAGATAGATGATATCTGTAGTTCTTCCCTTGTCCACTGATGTAGTCACTCCATCTAGTACCTTCGGTCAGGTGTCTTACATTAGATGAGAGAATTTAGATTTTAGGTGCCCATGCTGCTAGTTGCTCCAAACAGTATCCAGGGATAATCAGGGGCTTGTATGCAGACCTAGAGCCTCTGCACATTTTGCTGGTAAAGTTATGCTGCTGTAGACACAACAATAAATAAGAATAAATTAGAATAAACAAAAAACCTACAGAAACGGAGTATGTTTTCTCCCTGTTGGACAGCTAGCCAAATTTTGTTTTCACTGATTTTAATATCAATAATTCCTTTCTATTCACAGGAATTGCTTTTGTTTCAGCTTGATATAATTATAAAAGAATTTGTCCTGTTCTCCAGGGTTTATTCAGATTCAGAATTTTCAAAGAAATCAGGAGTTGCCATTATAATTTTCATACATTTTTCAACATGATACACTATGCTTAATCTGATGAAACTGCATCATTACAGTAGTGGGGAACAACATCGCAAAATTATGTCTTAAACAGCCTTGCAAATGACTGATTACTCTTATTATTGGGACTTGAAATCATAAAAAAGAAAAGCATTCAAAATTTTGCAAGTAAATCAAATAGAAACTGACAGGTATAATTATTTTATATACTTGAAAGGGATTCAAAATCTCCAAAGTGAAGAGTTCTATAAACAGAACAGATGTTTTAAAAAGAAGAAAATGAAGAAATCTGCTTCTTAACATAGTAGCAGCTGGTGTCCTGCAATTACCCTCTATCCATTGGATTTTGTAGATGTTACAGCCTGCTTACAGATAGTTTTATCGTTGTGTAATTTTAGTTTAATATTCTAGCATATTTTTATTTTTACATAGCAAAAGGAATGTGTGAGCTGAGACTCCAAAGCTGAGTGTTCATGCTGGTGTGGGCAGATATTAGAAAAAAGCATTCGTGGTCTTTCTAAGAGATATCCAGACTGCTTGAAGATATAGGACTAAGATCTGGAAAAGCTTGATGCAATTCCTTTCGACTTCTGCATATTGTTGGCACACTTTGTCCAAAACAGAGGTCCCAAGGGTGGTTTGACCTATCTCTGCTTTCAATTAAAGCTAGTTAATGGTAACTTTGCTGGTTTCTGTTTTCACAAATGAGCATCATCTTGCCTTGACTAAGCTGCTAAAAATTCAAATGCGTGTTGCAACCCAGGGCCTCATTTCCCTTCTGTAAAATCAAAACATTACTTTTTCACAAATGCGCATTGCACCTTTTTAGGTTCCAGTGTTCCTGAGGACTGTTTGCAGGCATATTTTTAAGCATCTCTGTGTGGGACCTAGGCTACAAAACTTGGGTACTTAACCTGTCTTTAAGATTCAGCTATGCAGTGGAGCACATTTAAGAAACAGCTGGTGGTGTTTGCATAGACAAAAGAGCAATGTAGTACTTTTGTGGGCCTCCAAAGTTATGTATAATATGGCCTTCGGGCTCACCTGCCATGGAGGTAACTGATGAAGTAGGTATTTACTTCAAGTAAAAAAGCATCCTTGTATTTTGGATACACACCAAGGTCCTATGTCAAAAGGAGTGAATGGAACCCCGTAACTCAGGTGTGCTCAGTGGCAGGTGGAGCAGTTGTGGGCAGCTTGTACCAGAATCTTTTCTTATAGAAAGTTGTCCCAGTTCAGTTTTTGAGGGTCTCAGATTCAGCAAGGTTCTGACCTTGGTTTGGGGCTGCTGAAGTACAGCAATACCAACACAAAATATTTGTTCATTTTGGTTTTGCTCTTCAACCGGGAGAGCTAAAAATAAGTTTAGGAAGGCTTTTGATAACTTTGAAAAATTAATTTTATTTATTACGACACAGAGGCGAATGAAGAGTGTGGTGACAGCCTGGAAGGCTGAAAATTTGGCGAACAACTACCAGTATTGCATGTGGTGTTCTTTCTTTTTCTTTCTGGAGTGGGTGGAAGGCAAATGTTAGACTGTCCTGTGGTACTCTCTCATGAATGCTGTGAGCAGCGGTTCCTATGTACATTCATCAATTTCTTCCCGTCACAGAAAATCAAAGCCAGAATGTCCTGCCTGTACTTTATGATCTGCAGAGGGCTCCTCAGAGAAAAGGATCCAAAATGTGGCAGTGCAGGGGACTGGTGAGGAGCCAGGAGGTGAGGAACTGCAGCCATTCAAGGGTACCCTTAGGAAAATTTGCTGTAATTTCTGAAAAGGAGGAATTCTGCTTTCCAGAAATAGTATAAATGTTATGTCAGTGATGTTTATGTGTTATTTGGATGTTTCCATGTCTTGCTCATTATGTTGCAGAGCTGGAGGATGGTTTGATTATATAGTGCTATGTCAGATGCTTGTTCAAATAGTAATATTGAATTCATATTGAGCTCCTGAAGTCTCTATAATTCCCACTGCTATTACAATACCCACCCATCAAGAGTACTAATTAGAGGGAAAATATAGCTCACACCAGTCATTTATTTTTATATAGCACCACTCAGAACAAACTTTCTAATGTCCTTTTCTCTCATTAAAATCCAATCAACTAAAAGTATTCTTTATTAAGTGCCCCATGAAATAACTTTTTAATTTTAGAACAAAAGGATATGAGGGCTATTACCTGTTTGAAATACTTCCTGACAATGCACTCTGGAAAAAGAAGAGATACATGTATCTTCAACTCACTGGGCAGTGAGAGAAATCTTGAGAAAACAGCTCCCCAAAGGGTGGCTGGTATTTCATTGCCTCAACACCTGCCCCTCTTTTTCCACTGTGCCATCTCCACATTAATGATTGCAGTGTTGGAAGAAGAAAGTGAAAATAAAAGACAAATCAGTGACAAGAAGGAGAAGTATATTAAAAAAAAAAGAGAGAACATGGAAATAAGAAAAAATAAATGAGTCTTTGCTGATGCCAAATGCAGTGACAAAGTAATTGTTTCAGAGAATGCTCCTGTCAGAAAACCACTTTGCTACAAAGGAAAGGAGAGTGGGAAGACAACCACGGTACAAGCTGGAATATTTGCAATCTTATTTGTCAAGTAGTATTACTTGTTTTCACCTATGTAATGCATTCATTTAAACCCAAACCCCGTTGTAGAAGTGTGGAACACGTCAACAGCTGGAAGCAGTGGTAGGACTTGGTTTGCCATTGCTCACACATCATCCCAGCACTTCAGAGAGGTGCACTGTCACTTGTGTGGTCACACAGTGAATAGGACAGCTGCATGGAAACGCTTTCCCCCCACCTGATCCCTGTAAGTCCCAGTCTGTGTCCTTAAATCCCCTTTGAAATACTGATTGTCAAATCGCCACCATGGTCATGATGTCGTGAAGGGAAAGCAGTGCGAAAATCATCTTTGTAGCCACCATGGTCTTCACCGGCTGGGGTGCGCTGGGGAGACCGCTGTGAGGAGGAGGCTTCTGCTCTTGGCTGAGGGCTGCTGCGTGGGGATTTCCCTTTCCTTTCTGTGCCCCGCATTCTCCCCTCTTTCTCCCTGCGGTATGAGGTTGGGTGGATGCCATCAGCTCCCAGCGGACCCGGCTTCTCCAAGGTCGATCCATGGTCACAGAAGCCAAAACCTTGAGTAGCAGCTGTGCAGCCAGGCATTCACCTGCTCAGTTTGTCTCCTCCTTGCTGCGCCCCTTCCCTGAGTGGGAACGTAGAGGAGAACACCGCCTGTGCTCCTCATCCTTCAAACATTGCTCTGAGGGACAGACGGTCTCTGTGCATGGTTAGTTGAAGTGGTCTAAACGCTCCCCGGCTCTGGGGCCGCTGAGCAGTCAGCACCCAATGCCAGTGTTCCCCCAAAATCTGATGCACGCACACTCGGAGATGCAACTTTTGTTCAAACAAACCGAGTTTATTGACAACTATGTACAGAGTGAAAGTCCCAGAAGGAGTGGACTCTCTTGAAGACGCGGGGCAGCCGAGGGGACACAGGCACGGCTCTGTCCATGAAGACCTTTTTCAGACTCCACAGAAGAGCAGTCTTCTGAGCTGAGCTTGCACTTCCTCAAGCTCACGCAGTGCCTTGGCGTGGGCAGCTGGATCCTGCACCAGGCACTGGAAGAGGTTGAGGGGCTCAGCCGCCTGGAAGGCTGGGGGCAAGGTGATGTCCTTGGGCATGTTCTCATTGCCAAGGAAGAAGTGGTTGAGGCGTTTCTCCTCCAAGCACTTGCGCAGGTCCCACATGATATCCTGCATCCGCGAGACGAATTCCCTCCTTGTCCAGCTTGTCGGGGGCAGGGTGTTGAGGAGGTGCATCCCAACGGTCTTCAAGGTATCGGTGGACAAGCTTGTGCCCTCCAGGATGCCGGCGCAGAGCTGCAGGCATTGGAGGTGGAAGGTGTCCTGCGGGGCCTGCTTGGCCACGTGCCTGAAGAACTTGGCCTCGGCCACGGCACAGCTCTCTGCCCACGTTGTGCCCGGGATGAAGCAGCCGGGGTGCTCTGCAACCTGGCTGCTCAGGAAGATGTCCGAGTTGCCTTGCTGCACCCCGAACATCACCTCCACAAAGAGGGATCTCCCGCAGGCATTCGTCAGCTGCAGCTTGCAGGAGCGGCGGGAAGGCAGCACCTTCATGCTGTAGTGATGCCACTGAGCCATCTCCCCCCAGGCTGAGCTCACCAAGGTCTGGAACCAGCGGGCAATTTTCTGCACGTCCAGGTAGAAGCCTGGACGTGCAGCGCTGGTGCAGAGGTCGCTGAGGAGGTTGGAATCCTGATTTGTCCTGAGCGCCTCCTCGGGCTGGTGCACGAAGCACAGCATGTTCCCCACACCTTGGCCCCTCATGCAGGTGCATTGGAGCTGAACACGGACGCGGCTCTTTGCCGGCATCTTCTCCGCAGAGCCCAGCTCTAGGTGGAACGTGTGCCCACGGGGAGGCTTCAGGGGCACAAGCAGGCGGTAGACCGCATCATGCCCCCGGGGATTCCAACCTTCAAAGGCGCTGCCCACCCCGATGGCTGGCTCCAGCACTGGGAAGAAACTGCTGGCCAAGCGCGCTTGGAAGACGCCAAGGAGGTCGCTCACCAGATCTTCCGCCACCCGGCGCTTGTAGGCCACGCTCACCGATGCCCCACGGACGTGCTTTGCCAAAATCTTGACCAGGTGCCCCTTGTCATCGGAGTCCTCTCCTTTGCTGGCTTCCTCCTCGTCCTCTGTGCTGCCGCAGGAGGTGGTCTCCTCTT